CAGGGACTTAGAGCAGCACGTCCTCTAGGACATTCCAGGATGATGGCAACGTTCTGTTCTTTGTGTCCAATACAGAGGGGCACCTGCGCGGCTCGAAGCCTCCTGAACAAGGCCAGTGAGCCTAGGATCTGACCGTCTTAGTCTGACTGACTCGGCCCCTCACGTGCGGCTCCCACACCGCGGCGCCCGCACGTCTGTGATCTCAACGCTCTGAGGGGTCCCACGGCAGCACGCCTGAACCACCCCTGACCATCCTCATCCTCTCCCCGTGGGAAGCCGTGCAGACCCAAAGGAGGGAACTCCGCAGCTCCCCGAAATAACCTGTTTGTTCAGTGCACACCCCACACTCCCGGAGGTCCCTGTGCGGGGAGAGCTCTCTGCCAGGCCAGGAAGAGGGCAGAGGCCAGACTGTAGGGGGCTCCCAGCTGGGGAGCTGACCTTCTGGTCCTCGGTCATGTCCCCCGCAAAAGGGCAGGCATGTGTCCAGGGGTCCTGCAGGCCCCCGGTTCTGTGAAGGAGTGGAAGCAAGTCGGGTATGCCCATCACCAGAGCACAGCTGCCAGGAAACCCCAGGAGCCCTCAGGATGCCAGGCCGGCACAAAGAGGAAGTGGGCCTCGGGCTGATCCTCCCCCAAATCGAAACAAACATTATTTATAAATCACAAAAAAAGAAGCCCAAGCATTTCTTTGTTCATTCATTTTACTTACTGCCCTTGTGGGCAGGTTTTCCTTTAAAGAAGAAAATTAGAACCTTTGCCTTCAAGGTCTTGGGGAGATAGTCTTGGAGGTGTGGGCACTGCAGGATCCGGGGTCCGTTGCTGACCCCAGCAGGGAGTGGGCCGCTCATCCGCTGTGTGATGCTTTTCTGTTTCAACACCTATGTCTTTCCCAACAGTCCTGGGGCGTGCCCATGGCTCCAGGAGAGGCACCATGAAGGCCCCCTCCGGGCAGAGTGGCCCGATCTTATGGGGGGGGCACCGAGAGCAGCAGGAGCCCTCCATCTGCCGTCCAGAGGGCACCCCTCCTGCATGTTCCCCATCCCGGCGGCCTGTCCGGGAGGGAACCCACCATTCGAACTGCCAGAGGACAGGGTCCTTGCGGCCAGAGGATGGTGACACGCCCAGCCGAGGGGGCAGCACACTCGGGATCATCAAAGCACAGACCAGGCGGGCTGTCAGCTCCGCTGGGTGGGGGGATAAGGACGCACCCCCCAGCTGGCCTGCTGAGTCTCTGTGGGATGGCAGCAGGTGTGTTCAAAGGGTCCCAGCCCCCTGGAGCCAGGGTGCCCCCACCATCCAGCGGCTCTCTCCTTCCAAGCTGGCATTCTCAAGTGTACAAATGAAACCATGAGGACTACTCAAGATTAATGAGATGGAGGGATGGATCTGTGGAGACCGAGGCCCGGCAGGGGTGCAAGGGGTATGTGCTCTGGTGGGGCGCAGTAGCGGGGCGGGGGTGGGGGGCTCTGCGAAGTCAGAGACCGCGGCCTCCTCTATCTCTGGGCCCCACCTCTCCAGGGAGGCTTACACTGGGCCCTCGGGTCAGGATGGGCGTGAGGACTAGCAGAGGGTCCGCACGGGGCGGGCTGGGCACAGGCATGTCTCGTCAAGCCCTCAAGCACAGTGATGTCCGGCCCCAGGGAGGGCAGAGTGAGCTGGGCCGAGGAGTCCTCTATGGGGCTGGGGCATTCCAGCAGCTGACACCCTGTTCTCGGTCAGGAGCAGGTCAGGAGCAGGTCAGGAACGAGCACTCCGTTCTGCTTTGGGGTGTGCAGAGTCCGAGGCGTCTTGGTACTGGAAATGCTGAGGTAGGCAGGAGTGGGGTTGTGTGGGGGGGCGCCCCCCATTTAGGGAGGCAGAGGCTTGAGGCTCTGGTGTCCTCGCTGGAAGGGAGCTTCTTCCACACTCCCCTTGCTGCCGTCCTTGTATTCGCCCTAGGGAGGGGCGGGGTCTGCCCTCCTCCAGGGAGAGCTCACCCCTGCTCTGCCCTGGGAAGGGGGGCTGGGTCCCTAGGACGCTTGGGGCTGGTTGTCCACCTGTGCCATCTGTCAACGGTGGCCTGTCGTTGTTTTCACTAGACTACATTTGACGGCGCTGTGGGTTCCAAGCAAAATTGAGGGGAAGTCACAGACTTCCGTTTCCCGCTGCCCCAGCATGTGCACAGCCTCCCCCAGGGTGGACATCCCCCCAGAGTGGTATCTTTGTCCCAGGAGTTGACAAGCCTGCACCGACCCGTCATGACCCAGAGTCCGCGGTTCAGGTCAAGTTCACTCTTGGTGATGCACATTCTGGGGACCAGGGTCCTCCGAGTTCCAACTGTCCCCGCAGCCCCTCAGCCCCTGCCGCCTCCCTGGCCACCCTCATACTCCCCAACTACCCCATCCCGGCAGAACCCAGAACCCCAACCCCTCCCACAGAGGGGCCCGAAGCAGCTTCCCGGTAAGGGGTGGGGACGCGGCTGGGGTGGTGGGGGACAGGGCGCTCCTCCGGGAGGCATCAGTCCCCAGCGCAGGGAGGACTTTGTTGGCACAGCCATCCCTCTGCGGGGGTTGCTCTCTGCGGCGAACTCCCCAGTGCTTGCGGGGAGGCAGATGCTTTCAGGAACCTACAGCTAGAGCTGCCCAAAGAGAACGCGGTGGCAGGGCCCACAGGACCCCCAGCAGTGACCCAGGCCAGAAATCTCTGTGCCGACGCTGTGGAAGCCATCCCGCTGGCGGCCACACTATTTAATGGAAGAAAATGAAAATCTGGGGAGAAAACATAAGCCTGATGGAGGGACTACAACGGCCCAGGTCAGGGCTGAGGAGGGCGTTCTCAGGAAGCTCTGTGTTTGGCGGGTCAGCATGACGGCCAAGCGTGCAGAGACGTGTGAGAGCAGACCCGGGGCTCTCCAGGGGGATGGTCCCCAGAGGCTCAGACGCGCCCACACTCGGTGCCCTCCTCGACAGCAAACAGGACACAGCACACAGGTGCTCCCGGGGCGGGGTGGGGGAGCACCCGGGAGGGCCACCACAGGTGCTGGTGGAAGCCAAGGGGTCCCAGCAATGTCTCAGGGCGGGGGCGGCCCCAGAGCCTCCCATCCCGGAACAGGACTCTGGGACCTGCTCGGCCAGGAGGCCCTGAGGTGAACTGAGATCAGAGAAAATGGTCATTCCAGCTGGACCACGGATAGGCTCCCTCCTCCTTTCTTTAGCCCAGAAATGTCTATGGGTGCCAGAGCTTAGCACCGAGAGGGAACCGAAGCCGTGTCCCTGGGGAGGCCATACTACACCCCACAGTCCCGGTGACCTAAACAGCAGACATTTGCTCTCTCTCCCTCAGCCTGGGGCCAGAAGGCCAAGGCGCCGGCCGGCCTGCACTCCCTCCGCGGCTGGGGATGGGGAGGCGGCGTCCATCTGCTCCAGGCCTCTCCCCAGGCTTCTAGGGGTTTGCTGGCATCTTTGGCTTCCTGGCTTGTGGAAACGTCACCCGGACCTCTGCCTCCATGCTCTGTGTCCACGTCCCCCTTTGCATAAGGACACGGTCACCCTGGCTCGAGGTCCACCCTACTCCCCCTAACTTGCTCCCCCTGCAATGACCCTATTTCCAAATAGGGGCACCTTTGGAGGTCCCAGGGGTTAGGATCTCAACTTAGGAATCTTGCGGGGGCAGAGTTTAGTCCATAATGGGGCCTGAGCCACGGGTCTAGCTGGTGGTCTGCAGACTCCTCTGCGGAGGGGCCCTGGCTCCCCGAGGGGCTACTGCTCAGGGCCTCGGGCCAGCAGGCACCAGATCCTCCTGGGGCCAGAGACCCAGAGCCCGGCCTGGCTTGCAGGGTCAGTGTGTGCCCGCTCACACTCACCCCTGCCTGTGGGAGGACGGCCCCCTTGTGCCTGCACGGCTGATGCCCCCTGATACCACCCGGCAATGCGATGCAGGACATAGGGTTCACACGTGTGTGTCTTGCCAGCGGCTTGGGGGCATCTGGGATTTCGGCTCCTTCTGACTTCCGCGCCTACAGGGACCCTCCTCTGGCCTGGCTCCCAGCACCCTGCGGCCACGCCTGGCTGATCTGCGACTCACATGCCAAACGAAGAAGAAATCAGTGCCACAGTAGGTCACCAAGCCAGGGGTGGCTTGCCACTTCGAAGGATGCTGACATCCAAAGCGCCAGGCGCTGCTGGGTTTTTGAAAGGAGTCCTCCTGATAAGATGCTCGTGCACATTCACCCAGCCCAAGTCCTCCCCCTTCCACCTGAAGTGCTGGAGGCTCCGGGAGGCAAGACCCCCAACCCGACCTCAGAGCCAGGCCCGGAGTGGTGTTAGAATGGGTGCTTGACCACGGGGTGACTGCCTGAACCCCAGATCAGAGGCGTCGTCGGACGTCCTTCACCGAGCCTGGGTATCTTGGACACTTGGATCTAACGATGTGTTCCTGGGAATTGCGGGGTATCTAGCTGTCCTCTTGAGAGCACAGCTTACTGGGCCTGCCGGGGCTCCTCCTGCTGGTCCCGTGGAGGGCACCCCTGCGTTCGCCTGGGTCTCCTTCTCTACTGTGGTGATGCTCCTGCCGGAAGGCAGACGTGCCCAGATCTGCAGGGTGAATGAGTAAGTTCGCAGACCCCCAGGGCTCAGTGGGAGTGGAGCAAGGCAGCTTTGCCAAGTCCTCTGACCGCGCTCAGTGTCCTAGGAGAGGACAGCCCGGAAGGAGGGTGTGTTTCGTCGCTGTGTCTCAGGGCACATGCATAGGTCCAATCCCACGTGGCTCTGCACTCCGACAAACAGGGCTTGCTTCCCCCAGCCTCTTCTTCCCAGGGCACATCCCCGCCTCCCCTCACCATCCCCATCCATTCCAGTCTTCCTGCTCAGGAATGCCTTCATTAGAGAAATTCTGGCATAAACGTACTGTGTGCCGGGACTGGATACAGCCGGCAAACACGGCTCACTTGAAGACAACCCTCAAATGCTCGTCAAATATTGACCGTCGGCCAAGATTCCTGGGCCAGGCCACACCACACGGGTCTACACATCACACGTTTATTAGGGCTGCGTGCAACGTTAGCTCGGTGGTTTCGGTATGCAGCCTTCTATCTGCACCTCTGCCGGCCAGCCAGAGTATCTGTTCCTTGCGCTATCAGAGTGGTTGATCTGTGTGAAGAAAAGAGAAGAATTTTATTTAGCCACTAATCTTTTTAACAAATATTTAACGTGTCAGTTACTAGCCAAGTCATATAAAGAGAATCATTTCCTAGAATAGGATTTGCTCTAACCTACTCTGGGTACTTGATTTTTTCCCCTTCAATGTGCTTCTTAATAATATTTGAACCAGGTGTTAATGAAGTTGTAGAACTTTCTGCAATGAGGCCATGTTCTAGCGTCCACGCCGTCCAGCAGAGTAGCCACCTGCCACGTCGGATTCATGAGTACTTAAAATGTGGCTAGTGAGACTGATGAACCTGATTTTAAATTCTATTTAATTTAAATAAAGGTAAATGTAAATGCAAATTTGGCTAGAAGCCGCCATATTGGACAGCATAGCTCAAAGGTTTAATTTTCAATTCTCTGGGTGTAGGGGAGTATTTTTTTTGAGGGAAACTGTAAGGTCCCTTACTCAGCAAATGTGTGTTCATACTGACTGGGTTTTAATCCTTCATATCTTTGATGTTTTCACAGTAACAGAGCACCTTAGCCTGATACGAAAGAGGGATAATTTGCATTGTTATGGAACTGTGGAATTCTAGTTTTATATTCCTTTCTGTGTAACAGCTTTACGAAGATGTAATTCACATACTATAAAATTAACCCATTTAAGCATACGATTCAATGGTTTTTAGTATTCACAGAGATACGCCACCATCACCACAATCAACTTTCGAACATTCTAGTCCCCTGAACAAGCAGGGCCACACCTGTCCATGGTCACTCCCCACTGTCCACAGCTCTAGGCAGCCACTCATCTACTTTGTCTCTCCAGATTTTGTCTTTCTGTAAGTTTCATACAGACAGAATCATACCAATATGTGTTTTTTGTGTGTTGGTTTTTCTTCACTTAGCATATTTTGAGGGTTCACGGGTGTCGTAGCATAGATCGGCATGTTGTCTCTTTATGCGGTTGCATAATATTCCCGTGAATGGGTACACCATATTTTATTATACATTTTTAATCTGTTAATTACACATGTGGGTTGTTTTCCCTTTTTTTGGCTATTATGGGTAATACTGCTATGAACATTCACTTACCAGTGTTTGGGTGAACATATGTTTTCATTCTATCGGCTAAATATTGATAAGTAGGATTACTGGGTTATCTGGTAATTGTATGTCTAACTTTTTGAGGAATTGCCAGAATGTTCCCCAAAGCAGTTGTGTATCACATTTCCTCCAGCAGTGTATGAGGGTTCTAATTTCTCCACATCCTTGTCCACACTTCTTAGTAGGTCTTGGGTACTACAGTCATCCTAGTAAGTCACTGGGTTTTATTTGCATTTTCCTAATGGCTAGTGAGGAGCATCTTTTCATGGGCTTATCGGCCATCTATATGTCTTTGAAGAATGGCCCAGTCAGATCCTTTGACTATTTTAAAATTGGGTTGTCTTTTTATTATTGAGTTGTAAGAGTTCTTTATATATGCTGGATACATGTCCTTCATTTGCATATATGTTCTCCCATTCTGTGGGTTACCTTTTCAGTTTCTGGATGGTATTTGTGCTTTCTTCTGTCCTTTGTGCTTTTGCTATTCTATCAAAGAAAATGTCTAACCCAGGGTCACAAAGACTTACGCCTATGTTTTCTTCTGAGAGTTCAGTAGTTCTAGTTTTTACATTTAGTTATTTGACCCTCTTTAACTGAGTTTTTGTATGTGGTGTGAGGTTGGGATCCCAATTCATTCTTCAGCATGTGGATATCCAGTTGTCTGGTTATCCACTGGTTGAGAACATGACCCATTCCTCAAAGGCCCCGCATGGGAAAGCTCTGTCACGTGTGGAGGAGAGCCAAGTGGAGGGGTAGCGGCTTCGCCGGCGTGTGGGGCATTGCAGCATGGAAATCAGAGTAGGAGGGGACTGGCTGGGCTGCAAAGAGAAGGGTTCCAGACTGGTCTGGTTCCAGACTGCCAGGGACCAAGATGGAGACCACGCGGGAGGTGATGTTAATGATGATCCCGGGTTGAGTACACCAAGTGGGCCAGGCTGACCACCCACAGTTCAGGGAGAAGACAAGGAGGCTCAGGCACGTGACGTCACAGTCCTCGGGTCACCAAGCTCAGGGCAAGAATGTCTAGGTCTGGATTCAAGCTATGTTGCTTCAGGCTTCTATCTCCTTTGTGTCTAAGTCTGTAGGTCTCAGATTCCTCCCCCTTTAGAACACTGGAATCAGCCTCTAACGCTTTATTTTTATTTTATTATTTTTCAGACACTGTTTATTTTCCATCAGTCTTATTTCCATCGTGTTGCCCCTGTGGAGGAGCGGCTTAGGACCACTCAGTGTTTGCTCCTACCCCTTCCATGGCTCAAGCAGCGGGAGTAGGCAACCAGCCTTCCGTGCCCAGCTGAGTCTTCGGGAGGGAAGTGCTGACTAGCCCAGAGTGCACTTGCTTGTCCTTGATGAGTCTGCACCTTCAAGTTCAGCAGTCAGTCAGGAGCTGGAGCAGTGCGCCCTGAAATCCTTCCTTGGTCACGGCCTTTCCAGCGCCGGCCTGCTCTTCTCTGCAATCTCGTCAGCATCTCTGTGAAGTAAAGATCAGACACGACCGCCCACGGGCGCACCCGGGAAATGGTGCCACGCACGCGCAGAACTTCCCAGGCCAGCGTCCTCCCTTCGGACCCCCTGAGGGAGCTCCACTGTTGTTGCAAGGAATGGCGATGTCCATGTTGTGCAGGGGAGAGTCTGTGCTCCACAGAGCGATGGTGGGCAGGTCAACGTAAGACGCCTCTGTGACGGGCTGGTGGTCAGCCCTGCGACCAGTTCCCACCCGAGTCTGGGCTCCTGGAATGCTGCCTGGAGGGCTCCAGGAGGGAGGTGACCGGCAACAGCCCACTGCAGCCCAGTGCCCTGGCTGGGATTCACGGACGAGAGGAGGCTGACGTCAGCCGGGTTTTCAATGACAACAGTGACATGAGCTGCTGGCAGAAGATTCTCTCAGGTGTTCCTCGGGTTCATGATGTGGATGCCTTCACTTTTCTTCTGGAGGTGTGCTGCTCCGTTTGGAAGTCAACACTGGTGCCACCCAAGTGGGTTCCTGCTGCAAGGAATTCGAGGACATCCTCCTCTTTCACTTGCAGGACGCCTGGGGCTCTGGACATGGTGACAGTTTCCCTTTAAGCTGAGACAGGAACGTGGAACAACTCTGTATTGACCCCTCCCTGGGTAGTGTGAAACAAAGCAAGTCTCTTACATTTTAAAATTCAGTTCGATGGGGAAGTGGGGCTGGTGAAGGCTTCAGAACGTGGGGGTGACCTGCGGGCTGTGCCTGGGAAGCTGGCTCTGGGAGCAGCAGGAGGGCAGGGTGGTAATAGTGGCTGGGGACCAGCCAGGTCCCAGAAGGCCCACCCCATACAGCCACACACCACCCCTGGGAAGTCCAGCAGCAAGTCTGCACACCCCAAACAGGAAGGCATACTGATTCCCCCAGTAGTACTCGACTCGATCTCTGGGTGAGACCCTCCTGAGGCCCTGCCCCCAGCTCAGGCCTCAGTCAGCATCTGAGCAAAGCCCCTTTCGTGTCCCTAAGCTATGGCTCTAACAGCTCCCACCAGCACCACTCACAGCATTCAGGTCTCATCCTCCTACTCTTGGAACGGCTGAGACGACAACCTTCAACACACACGTATAGGCAAGACAGGCCTTTTCCTGAAATTCCCATAGAGGCCCTGCTCCGAAACGCTGGTTCTCTAAACCCAGGGCAGTGTTTGGACACCAACTCTGTCCTTGATTCCTCCCTTTTCAGAAACTCACTCTTCTTATAAAGAAGATAAGGAAGCAAGCGCCATTGCTACTTTGCAATTCAAATCAAGTTTTATTTTAAACGTCTTAGCGGAACATTGATAGGGAAGCTGTTTGTTGAGACGTTAGAGCTGCCTCCTCACTCCAGGCTTTTCTGATAGTGTGGACACACTGGGGCCCCAGAGGGCACGGCAAGGAGGGCAGCACTTTCTACAGGGCTTGGCCTGCTCTCTGGCTGGGTCCCCGACCTGGGGCTGGTGGGGAGAGTCCCCCAGGGAGATGGGAGGGTGGAGGAAGGAGGGCACAGGGTAACGCAACTGGAGAAGGAGCAGAGTGGCTGAAAGGGGATGTTAGGGGGAAGCTGGGAGGGGCACATGGGATTGGGACCTCTATCAGGACAATGGGTCCAACCCTTCCCGTGCATCAGAATCACCGGCCAGGCCCCACCCTGCAATTGCAGCTCGGGTGGCCTGCAAAGTCACTCTGGATTCCAGGACTCTGCTCAGTTCTCGGCTGGGCCCTGCACGCTATTCTCATTTACTCTTCAGATGTGGTAGGTGTGGTCACATTTACTCTGCGATAGGTGTGGTCTTTATTCCTTTCTCCTGAGAGATGATTCTGAGGCACAGAGAGGCTGAGTAACTTTCCCTAGACCACACAGCCGAGCGGAAGAAGCTGGGAGAGCCTTAAGGGGCCAGACTGCTGCTGATCGTACAAGGGCCGAGGAGAGACATGCTGTCTTAATAGGTGGGGTCAGCCTGACGAAGGCCACGGGTCGGCGGGGTGCGTCTCCCCGTCAGAGCCGCTGGGCCCTGAGGAGCTACCTAGCTTTCATCCCATTCCCCAGAGCAGCAGACGGGCCCACAGAGATCAAGTGGATTGCGTGGGATCACTCGTGGCCCCTGGCAAATCTGACATGGGACGCCAAGCCCCTGCCCCTGGCTGTGCCTGGCTTAGCGCACCGCGCCGTGTGGTCCAGACGGTGCTACCGCACAGAGCCTGGGCATGCCTCTCCTTGGGACATGTGTCCGAGGTCCCACCGGTACACTGGGTGTCCAGACCCAGTCACTAGTACCAAGAAGTCCACGCTAGAGCACCGAGTAGGTGCTCCTGACACGTCCTGCACGACTGGCTTCGGTCCGCAGAATAACGTGAGAGTCACGAGGGGAAACGTGCTTTTCTCGACGCGCGTTAAACAAGCCTGATTTCGGAGCCTACAGAGTGCTGCGTCCGGGGGGCTTCAGAGGGGCTGCGGGGCTTCCCCTGGGAGCTGGTCATGAGTCATCTGCTCATGCGGCCACACTGACCTCCCACCTCCCCCGGCCCCCTTCCCTGCGAGGGGATCCTGCCGACAAGGAGAGGCCCAGCTGCGGCCTGCTTCCGTCTGTCTCCCTTCCCAGACCCACAACCACAGCACACGGTGCCAGGAGGGGACCAGGACCAAGACCAGGGGCCCCAGCCTGAAGTCAGAAGCAGCCTCTCGCCCGGGCTGGGGGCGCCCAGCCTCTGTCTCCTCCAAGTTTCTGGCTCCAGGGGAGGAAGCCTTTCCTTGCAAGAGTCAGTGACTTTGCTCCATGGTCGTGCCACTGCTCCTTCCTCTCCTGGGAGCTGTCTTGTCTCCCAAAGAGCCGTGTCTCCCAAAGGGGCCATGTGACCGTCCCCAGAGGTGCCGGCTGGGGACTCCGACGTTCACCAGTGCTCAGTTGCAATTTTCACAGGCGACCAAATTAATTCATTACAACTTGATTCTCTTGTTCTTTCTACTCTTTCATAAGGGGACGCGATGGGGGCTTAAAAGCAGGCTGGCGTTGGGCCATGGCAGCACCGCGAGCTGGGTTTATCCGTGGGTTCGGAACCTGCACGCACAGGCCAGGTGAGCCCGTCACCCAGCTCCATCACCGGCCTCTGAACACAGACAAGGGACCAAGAGGCTTGCCACAGCCCATGCTGGCCGCCCTGTGACGGAAGGCGGGACCTACAGCCCATGAGGAACCATCTACTTTTTTTTTTTTTTTTTAAAGATTTTATTTATTTATTTGTCAGAGAGAGAGGGAGAGAGAGCGAGCACAGGCAGACAGAATGGCAGGCAGAGGCAGAGGGAGAAGCAGGCTCCCTGATGAGCAAGGAGCCCGATGTGAGACTCGATCCCAGGACGCTGGGATCATGACCTGAGCCGAAGGCAGCTGCTTAACCAACTGAGCCACCCAGGCGTCCCAGAACCATCTGCTTTTAAAGAGATTTGGGAAGCGTGAACTTCAGTCGAGTGCCTTTTCCTGATGTAACGGGCAAGGTCTACAAACCCCGTATGATGGACTATTTTACCTACAACGATGGATCAGGCCCCTACTGCCATTCGCCCGGGACTCAGGAATGCAGAGTCCCAGGCACATTCCCACGAGCGAACCCAGGGCTCAAACCCAGGCAGCCGGCTCCACGTGGCCCTGTGTGGCACGCATTTTGCGCAGGAATGTCCTGGGGGCCGGGAGCCATCACTGACCCACAACCTTAGAAATTACAGGGTGTCCTACACTAACCACTTGTGGGAAGTGACATTTAAAAAGCACTCACATTTTCTCTCTGAATTTCTGCAGGAAGCTTGAAGCCTTTTGCTGTGAGAAACACCCAGCTGGACCTGAACCGGATGTTCTTGATTTGTTTACTTCCAAGTGCTTCTATGACCTTCTTGGCGTCCTCCTTCAGCCTGGGGGGAGAGAGGAAAGGCGTGTGAATGTCCCCGTGGAGACTTTGGTGTGTCACACCGCCATTGTCCTAGCAAAGAGGCTTCTAGAGCAACCCACCTCCTCCTGGGGCGTACAGCGGGAGGGCGTCAAATTTCTAGTTAAACATACGACGACATCAGGGGCTCTTTGAGCCTCAGGTTTGGGCACAGAGTTTTAATTCTTAATTCTCAAAAGCCCTGTGTCTTGGGATCCAATCACACCTTCACGTTCAGCCAATTTAATTTTTGGTCTTTGCTGCCCCTCCTGTTCACTGACCACAAAAGGAGGCAGAAGTTGGTGAAAGGTGAAAGGACAGGTCAAAACAGTCCCTTTCATTTTCAGAAAGATCGGTATCAAGAAAGAAAGAAAACCCTAAAACAACGCCACCATTGTAAAAGCAGGCAACTTAGAGTAAGCAAAGGGAGGAGGGCAGAAAGGGAAAGAAAAAAAAAATGAGCTGAGATTTTCCTGAGTTAAATCAGAATTTTTCCAAGCGTGTATCAAATAACTTCTGTCTGATAAGATGCTCTATTAAGAATAGGATCCAAGGCCAAATAAATTTGGGGAATGCCTTGTTCAGGAGCCAGACTTACAGGGCACAGAAGTACTCTGAGGTTCGTGGAAGGTTCACGGAAGTTTGGCCGTGAACACACAAGTGTTTACTCAGAAGAGCAAACTTCCGAGCCACACGGGGACCAGACCAACTTCTTCCCACAGGAAGGGGTGTGAGTGTGTGTGTGTGTTTCCTTTTCATTCAATTGCTATTCATACAGAGAATTTTTCCCGATTTCCTTTCCTATTTCTGTAAGTCCCACCCTGAGTGTAGCTTTTCTGTCCAAATCCGGGTCCGTGGCGGCTCTTTCTCGCTCCTAGGAATATGCCTTAGCATCTAGGACTGAACATAGTCCGCTTTGTCATGGGCTCCCCTTCCTTCTCCTTAAGAAAGCCCCTCGCTCCAGCCGGCTTCCCCTGTCCCCGCTGTGGGAACAGTCCATCCACGCTTACCTGCTCGCACCGTCGTCTTGGGTCACCATGAAGAGCAGGGACTTGGGAGGTGCACTCTGAATGAAGGTCACCATCGGTTCAGAGTTATCTGTTGGGTCAATGCAAATCTGCTTTAGGTCCCCATTGCTTGCTCCCCCAGACGCTGTGCCTCCTCTGGGCTTAGCTGTCATGTCCTCTGAATCTTCCAATTCCTGGAGCTTGTCTCCACTAGTGAGTGGATGGCCGCTGGGCTCCACGCTGGGACCCGCAGAGGCGAGGGGCACGAGCACATCGTGAGGATCCTATGACTCTAACCGGAGGCCGGCGACAACCACTGCAGAGGGGTCCCGGGACACCAACTTGTGGAATGGGGCCAGAAATCGGACTTGCAGACCAGACTGAGCGTGGCAAGTCTTTACTGAGGGACGTATCTGGGCCTCACAGCAACAAAAGGAAGCTAATCTCAAGCCCCATTATTTCCCACTGGGCTGTTCCCACTGGGTGGTGCTCACCTTAATTACAGAGTAAAAATGCACAGTTCCCGTAAGTGTGTCCAGACATTCTTATTACTCTGTTCTCTTTATAAAGCCTTGTTTTTAATAATTCTTACTGTTCGATAAAAATAAAAGGGGCTGCCGTATCCTGACTGACCTCTGCACTCAAGCCCAGTGCCCAGACTGGAGAGACCATGGAAGGAGAACGTGCACCGCGTGTCCCGGGACGTGTGCGTGGAGCGCAGGGATGCACCACAAACAGGATGGGAGTAATGATGTTCAGGGCTGGAGGCTGATCACATTGTTTCATGTACGTTTGATTTAAAAAAATGTTTTCTTTTATTATCTGATGAATCAACAAAAATAAAAGGCCCAGGACAAGTGTGACCTGAGAAGACATTTTCTAGATAACGCCTTCAAACTTGATCATATGAACTCAATTAAGAGACAAGGAGGGCTTACGTCAGACTGTTCTAGAATACTCTTACGAGCTTCTGGCACCTTATTTTAGTAGACAACTAAGAATGTTTGACACTTTGATTTGTGTCTTTTTATCTTCATGCTTTTAATTCATTTTCATAGAAAAAGAGTTTTCTTACCACCTTCAAACATATCAAAATACCGTGATGCTATCGCTTTCCCAGTCACATCTGAAAATAAAAGAAATGGTTTTTAAAAAGAACATTCAGTGGACTCAGGGTCCATCTGTGGCACTGTGGTGCTCAAAACGGCACTCCTTGGCCTGGTCAGCGGTTCTAGAACTGTCTTCCTGCCGGCTGCCAGCTAGGTGGACCTTCTGCTCTGTCCTGCTGCCCCTGCCTCTCCCACAGGAATCCCAGAGCACCCACCTCAGCCCCCTCTGCTTCGGACTTTAGGTTTTCCAATGGGATTCTCAGAGCAGGTGTGTTTTGTCTCAGTTCCCACAGCCCCGTGGTCAGGGAACCATGCACCCCACGTGCTCTCAGTCACGGCACGCAGAGCCCTTTCCCTGAACCTCTGACAGGTCTCCTGGTCATGGGCCTCTGGTGGCAGCTGTGACAGGATGTCTTTCCCAGGCCTAAGAATAGGCCAAGCTTTGCTCCCCAGAGGCCCCAGTTGGCCTTTTCTCACAGAGTTGGGAACCGGCTTCTAGCCTCACCCTCCGCAGGGTGGAATCCAAGAGCGACTCCAGAATGGTCTGTGCCCTCAGAGCCTGCTTATCTGACTTGACCCCTCCCTTCTGCTGGTCCTTCTCTGTTTTCTTAAAGGCCTATTAGACTATTTTATTTTATTTTATTTTTATTTTTATTTTTTTTTGACAGATCGCAAGTAGGCAGAGAGGCAGGCAGAGAGACAGGAGGAGGAGGCAGGCTCCCTGCTGACTATTAGACTATTTAAAAAAACAAACTTTGTGTTTAGTAATCTCTACACCCAACATGGGGTTCGAACACACGACCCTGAGATCAAGAGTCACATGTTCTTCTGAGCCAGCCAGGAGCCCCTGACTTTTTTCTTTTTTTCCAGGAACCACAAATAATCTGTAAAGTGAGGTATTACAAAAATAATCAAAGAATTTTAAAATGCATTAAAATATAAGCCCAGACTAGATCATTTGCAAAAATCATTGAAAACCCAAGGTATCTTTGAAAATCCAACTGTGGAGACTTTAGGGAAGTTTGAAAGAAAACATTTAATAACTCACAATTGACAATGGCAATATTTATTCCTCTTCCAACATTTCTAGTCTTTTCTCCCACGAGCCTGAAATGTAAATAAGAGTCAGTCAAAGAATCCCTGTCTTACTAAGCAATGAGTAGGGCTCCCTGTTCCATAAGCCCTTCTCTTGGCAGAACCCCGGTCTCTACCATAGGCACTTGCCATTTCCTTGAAGAGATGCACGGACCTTGGCTCAGATCCCTTGAAAGTCACACTCATCCTTGCTCCGCACATACCCACCCCCAAGGTTCTTAGAATCAGTCCCTCGGGGAACCCGGAAGCTGCTCTTACTCCTACAATCTAGACAAATGGCCGGAGACAGGAAAATCTAGGATTTGTTGAGCACAGGCTCTTTACAAACATTTTCTCACACTCTTCCACCACCTCCCAAGCATTCATTTTTCCATCTTACAGACAGGAAATCATAAGAGGTCAATCAGTTGGGCATGGATCTCACCCAAGTCTGCTATCCATGTATACACTCTCTTTCCTCATACTGACAGAGAGGCCTGGTTGGACTCTTGGCGATCCTTTCATCCAGCCACAAAATGGAAGACAGTTTACCTCCTCATATAAATACTTCCTCACTTAATTTTCACTTTTAAGTTGGAGAATAGGACCAACTTCAAATGAATTGTGACCTAAAACCAGTAAGAAGACTGACTTTCCTGGAGGTGGTATTTATTATTGAAGATCCTAGAATTTTGTGCGTGTTTGCCCCTTCTGTCAAGTTTTTTTTTTTTTTTTTTAAAGATTTCATTTATTTAGTTGAGAAAGAGAGAGAGCATGAGAGGGGAGAAGGTCAGAAGGAGAAGCAGACTTCCTGCTAAGCAGGGAGCCCAATGTGGGGCTTGGTCCCAGGACCCTGAAATCATGACCTGAGCCGAAGGCAGACACTCAACCGACTAAGCCCCTCAGGTGCCTGACACCCCCATCAGGTTTTAGAGTCAGGGTTATGCTAGCGTCACAAAAAGAATTTGAAAGTTTTCCTCCTTTTCCCATGCTTCGGAATAGTGGTTACAGCACTGTCATTTTCTATCTGCTCTTAACACATTTATCTAAACTCCCCTGGGGGCTTTCTAGTCTGAGTCCTTTTTGGAAGAGTAGCTTTTTGACAACTTTAGAGAATATTCTATAATATTTTGAAAAAGAAAAAGAAACTTCCATTTATGATAATGGAAAGTGGGGGTGATCTGAACCTAACTTCTCATAGAGAAAAATTTAAAAATGGGATTTAAAGAGTATCTACTAGACTATATTGGAGACTTCACAAGGAAATAAAGAGCGTTGAAGCCAGGATGTGGGACAATACTGAGTTTCAAGAGGGTGAGCCCAGCAAATGAAGGTATTTCACCTCAGGAGCATTTGCTAACTAATTCCAGAAAAAGTATCAAAGGAGATGAGCAGCACTTTTGAGAACCACGTGAGGTGAGGCTTGGGGGATAAAAGTTGGAAGACCGGGCTCACCAAAGGGAAGGCCATGTTAAATCCTCCAATCTACTGGGTTGGGGTCAAAAATGGTTGAATCTCAAAAATAAGAATGAACCAAAAATAGATCAGAGCTTGAATAACAGCAGTCGGATTTTAAGTCAACCAGGTGGGTCCCCCAAATCTCAGTCTTTAACATTTATTCAGACCATTCTATTCTGCTAATGATTCTAAGTCCCCGTTTATACCAAGCAAAAACCCTCAGAAAAAGAAGAGACCAGCTAATACCTCATTTATCCAAAAGATTTCAAAGTAACTATACTTAAAATACTAAGGAAGACAGTTAGTAAAAGCAAAGCGTTCCAAACCGGCTAGAAGAAGTACAAAATGAAGCTCTAAATGTAAACTAATGTGGCAAGCACAGCTGGAAGTCAGCGGAAGGTGTTCACAGCAGATCAGGCACCAGAGAAGATCTGTAAACTGAGCCACAGCTCGAAGGAAAACAGCTCTGTCTACAACGACAGAAAGATACAAAGACGGAGAATACAAAACAGACTGAAAGCTACCAAGAACGTAGTAATAAGATCTGACGTATGTTTGTTAGGGGTCTCAGGTGCTCAGGAGAAGGTAAGTGGGGCAGAAGACACAATGGCAGAGAATTCGTTCAATGTGATGAAGAACTCTGATTTCTACGTATTTAAGAAGCCCAATGAGCCCCAAAGAAAATAAAGCAGTAACAACAGAAACAGGGTACAAATGCTGAAGACCAAAGACAGGGAAAAATCTTAAAGACAGTCGGAGAGGGGGAAAAGGCCATTACTTTCATCATATCAGCAATTCAACTGTTCACTGACGCTCAAGAAAAACAGTGGAAGCCAGAAGACAACGGAACGGTCTCTGCCTGGGCTGAGACACTACCTGGGAAAATCTTACTGCAAGGATGATGAGATAAAGGTGTTTCAGAGAAAAGTAAATTGAGACAATTCACCACCAGCAGACCATACAGAAGCTTTTGTTCTGTATCTTTTGCTGTAATAAACCTTATCTGTAAGTATTAGCTGTTCCTGAGGCTTATAAGTTCCTCTAGGAGATCACAGAAGTTGAGGGTATCTGTGCAATTCCCCCCCAGAACAATACCCAGTTGAAATACACGCACATGTGCACAAACAGACGTGATTATATTATACATTTGATGCATGGATGGACCTATCTCAGTTTGCTTTCTTTTAAAAAAAATTTTTTTTTAAAGATTTATTTATTTATTTGAAAGACAGAGATCACAAGTCGGCAGAGAGACAGGCACAGAGAGAGAGAGGGGGAAGCAGGCGCCCTGCTGAGCAGAGCGGCCGATGCCGGGCTTGATCCCAGGACCCTGAGATCATGACCTGAGCCGAAGGCAGAGGCTTAACCCACTGAGCCACCCAGGTGCCCCTCCCCCCTTACCATATTCTTTTATAACAAATTGGTAAATGTGTTGCTCTGAGTTTTGTGAGCTATTCTAGCAAATAACCAAACCCAAAGAGGGGCTCATGGGAACTCTGGTTTACAAGCAATCGGTCAGAAGTATAGTGACAATCTGGGACTTGGGATTAGTATCTGAAATTGGCAGGGGTGTGGTGGTGGAAAGTCTTGTGAAACTAAAGCCCTTAACCTGCGGAGTCTGAGGCCATCTTCAAGTAGATATATCAGAATCAAGTTGAACTGTAGATCCATCCCCCAGCTGGTACTGCAGATAATTGCTTGAAGTGGGGAAAAACGACCACACGTTTGATAACCAGAGTACAATGCACTCAGAGTACTGAGCAGAGCATAAAGGAAATCAGTAGTTTAAGGAAAGTAGTAGAAAACTACTGTTTTCCTTTATGTACCCCAAAATAATGTGGCTCACTCAAGAAGAAACAGATAACTTGAGTACCTCTGTACTTATTGTAGAAAGTGAAATTTGTAGTTAAAAATATTCTCACGGGGTGCCTGGGTGGCTCAGTGGGTTAAGCCTCTGCCTTCGGCTCAGGTCATGATCTCAGGGTCCTGGGATTGAGCCCCGCATCGGGCTCTCTGCTCAGCAGGGAGCCTGCTTCCCTCTCTCTCTGCCTGCCTCTCTGCCTACTTGTGATCTCTCTCTGTCAAATAAATAAATAAAATCTTTAAAAAAAATATTCTCACAAAGAAAATTCTAGGCCAGAATTCTTCACTGGGAAATTGCACCAAATCCTTCAATAAATAATACTCATTCTTTACCAACTCTCTCAGAGTATTGCAGGGAATACTCACCAACACATTCCGCCTTTATACCAAAACCAGAGAAAAAAATAACAAGAAAACCACAGACAAATATCCCTCAAGAACACAGATAAAAAAATTCTTAATAAAATTTTAACAAACTGAATCCAACAACATATAAAAAGGATAAGAGATTACAAGCAAGTGGGATTTATCAAAAAAGGCAAGGTTGGTTTAATGTTCAAAAAAGTAATTCACCATATTAGCAGACTAAGAAAGACAAACCACATAATCCCCTCAAGAGATACAGAAAAAAAAATCTGACAAAATCCGATATCCATCACTGATTAAAAACTCTCAGAAACCTTGAAATAGAGGAATTTCTTCAACCTGATAAAAGACTTCTACAAAAAAAATCCCTAATTAACATCATACTTAATGATGAATGATGGAATACTTTCTCTCCAAGACAAGGAAAAAGGCAATTATGTCTATTCTGATCATTTCCATTCAGCATTGTAACAGAGGTTCTCTCCAGTGCAATCAGGCAAGAAAAAGAAAACAAAGGCATGCAGATTAGAAAGTGGTAAAACTGCCTTTTATTGGGGCTGGGGTGGGGATGGTTAGCTGACATTACCATCTATGTAGAAAATCCAATGTTAAAAAAAAATACTAGAACTAATAAGTGAGCTTAGCAAGGTTGTGGGATATTAGATCATTATACAAAAATCAAGTCTACTTCTATGTACAAGCAATGAAGAGTTGTAAATTAAAAATTTTTTTTAAAATACACTACAGCATCAAAAATGAAATACTTAGAGATAAAAATAGTAAAAGAGATGCAAGACATGTACACTGATACCATAAAAACATCTCTGAATCAAGTTAAAGAAAATGGAGAGCAAAAATGTTTGCCGAGTAAAAGATTAAATATTGCTACAACGTCAGTTTTCCCCAAATTGATCTAGAGTTCCAATGCAATCCCAATCAAAAACCAACAGGATTTTGCATAGAAATTTATAAGCTGACTCTACAATTCATATGAATATGGGAAGAATCTAGGATAGTGAAAATAATTTTGAAAAAGGAAAACAAAACTGAAGAAATTATGTTATTAAACTTTAAGAATTACTGTAAATTTACATTTATCAAAACATTGTATATAGTGAAAAGACAGACAGATAAATGGAAGAGACTGGAGAATTCAGAATTAGATACACACATATATATGGTCACTTGGTTTTTGCCAATGGTGCAAAGGAAAATCGGTAGAGTAAGACAGTATTCTGAATAAATGGTGCTAGAACAATTGGATACCCACATTAAAAAATCACTTCAATCCATATTTTATATCATACATAAAAATTAACCCCAAATGGGTACCTCACAGTATATGA